ACGAATAAAATAATTATGTTTATATTTAATATAATTATTTTTACATCATACATTAAGATAGATATTAAATTTAGTATATTAAATGAATTATGTAAATAAAAGAACTAAGATTTGAAAATTTAATCTGAATATATATAATTTTGATTATTAAATTACAAGGAAAATAGATTGTACAAATTGTATGTAGAACACGTGTAAAATGTTATAAAAATAATTCTAATTATTGATATATTTTTTCTTTTTTTTTTTTAGTAATAATAATACATTTCTTTTTAAATATCATTCACAAAAAATAACAATTGATTTTTTTCATATTGATAACGAAAACACGCGTATTTTATATAATTTTTTTTAACAAAAGTGAAAAACAAATATAAACTAGACATAGTAAAAATCGATATAAAAAAGTTGTAATCGTTGCATGAACATAAATATGTAACAATTAAAAGTTTTATTATTTATAAGTATAAATCAAATAAATAACTATTTCATTAACCTATATCTCATGGTGAATGTCACAAGCTTGATCCATTCTAGAATATTGATCCATAGAATTTTTAATATCAATTTTTAAAATATAAACAATTATTATGGCCACTGTAATTGTAACTATCATAGAAAGTAATAGTAAATGCTTTAAAAATACAACTTCACTGTGCATCTTTGTATTACTTTCTTTCAAATGTGCTATCTGTAATTGATTAATTTATTTAATATAATTTATTAATATACATATATTTTATATTATTTTATATTATTATATATTTATATTTATTTATTATTATATATATTTATTTATATAATAATTACCTTACGAGAAAGTGTATCTATTTGACTATTTTCTGATATTCCAGATATAGAATTTAATTTTAATACTTCATTATTCATAATTCCACCATAACAACATTTTAATTTATGTTCTTCTGCTGGTTTTTCAGACTGAATAAGAAATAAATTTTATAGTTTAATCATCCATAAATGTTTATATAATTAACTTACATAAATATTTTTTTACCTTCCATAGAGCTGCTAACTCTTGAGCAGATGTATTCGGATCTTTTAATGGAAGGCACATAACTAAAAATTTATCAACATGTAAAAGAGCACGTACATTATGTTCTTGTTGTACAACAACTGAAATTGAGCGTTGTTCTTGAGGTAATAAAATTCCTGAACTTGGTCGTACTCTAAACTTTCCAGGTGATGTCGTTTTTACCTAAATAATATAATAATTAAAAATTTAGATTATGTCCTATATATATTTCTTAAATTTTCTTAAAATAAAAATACATCATACTTTATAAGATAAAGGTTTATCACTAGTCACATTTTTAAGTAAAATTGATCCACCAATTTCATTTCCTGATTTGTTAAAAATTACTGCATCTGGTTCAATAGATAATACTACAAAAGAATAGTGATTGTATTGTTAATGTAAGAATAAAAATAAAATTTTTTATTTTTATTTAAATAGTATTTGTAATAAAATATAAAATTTAATTTACATTGGTCTTCAGTTGATTGTTCTCCAAAACCACCTGGAGATTGTTCTGTTAATGGAGAACCTTCTGCAAAATGTACCTATAGTTATATGAAGACAAATTAATTTTTAAATGAATTTATAAGTTATTTGACATTTCTCAATAATTAAATACATACTTTTCTACTATCAAATTTACCATTCATAGTAGTATCTATATTATTTTGTGCTTCTGATACAAATTTGAAGAGATATTCATTATTACCACCCCAACATGTAAGTACATCATTAGGATCAACTAATTCATGTATGTTGCCTTTATGTACAAATTTAATTTTTGGAATTGCTTTAGGTGGTAACCATGATTTTATAATTTTAAATGCAGTATTTAATATCCATGGCATTTCAAAAATAATAATATAATTTAAAAAATTAGGATAGTAACTTTTGCAAAGGTTAATTAAATATTTGATAAATTCCATATCCATATTTAAAATACCAGTATCTGACATATCAAAAAAAAGTGATATTTGATTGCCATTAGTTAATCTAAAATAATACAAAAATTTTAGTTTTATTAATAATATTACTCTAAAAGTAATTTAATTTATTATAGATCATGTTACCTTTCTAATCTTTCAAACCAATATACAACAAGTTTTTGCAATTGATTAAACTCTTTACTTCCTTTAGTATGTAAACTACATTTAATAACAAACATTGTTTTACCATCTTTATCTTTACCATGAATAAAACACAATCCAATGTCTAAATAATCTTTTCTTACATTTTCTTCTGTAATCTCTGTATATTAGATAATAATTGATATAAAATTATTAAAAATTATATTTATCATTTTATATGTATTTTTTTATATACATATTTTTTTTAATATATATTAAAACAATTAAAAAATATAAGCATACACATGATTATATTTACCATTTGTACCAAATTTACTTCTCCAAATGCAAGTATCCCATAACATATTAAGGGATTCTTGTATATTGTTTTCATTGTGCTCTAAAAACCTTCTTAACCAATTGTTATTTTCTTTTACTCTAGCAATATCTGCAGGGTGAAACTCTAAAATTATATTTAATTATGAGAATAATTGAATCATGAACATTTCTGTGTATTACCCACTTGATTAATTAAATATGAGAGAAGAGAACAAAAACTTCATAAACTATTTATAAAAATTATCCTTATTTTTTAGTGGATGTATATTAAAAACATTGGCCTTGGAATACAACATTAAGTTTAAATTTTACTTTGTGAGTTAATCACATTTTTATAGAGTCATTAAAAAGGAAAAAATCAGTTTTATGAAATAAGAATAAGTATACACACTAGGATCTGGTGGTCCCTCGTCATCCAATTTTTTAAAAAATTTTTCACGAAGATGCGAGATTAATTCTGTTCGTACTTCCATCTTTGGTTAACCTGCTGACTATGACACTTTAACCGGCAGTGAATTACTAATACGATAGCCAGATGATAATTGTTTATCCGAACACCAGATATGCGCGCAGAGACACGCGCATGCTATTTGGACTTTATACTAAATTAATTGAAGTTTTTTAATTTTTTCATAACTATATAATAGGTTTTTTTTTTATATACTAATATATAGAAAGATTTAATGTATAGTTTGAATCCGGAAATGCCACGTAGTATGATAATTTATAAAATATGGTTTATGAATTATTTCCGTGCAAGATATTACGTACTCAGTTTACTGTCAATATATTTATTTAAGCTTGATTTCCACGTTTACTATATCCATGTTATATCTAATGTAACTAATGTAATCTGAATATACAATTTATATGTTGATGAAAATAAATAAGATTCATTTAAAAAATATTTAAATCACAAAATTTTAAAATGTTACATGTTAATATTCTTCAATAATTAAATTTAAAAAATCAACAATTAATTATCATAAAATTTATGTTTTTAATTTAAAATATTTTTCATTGTGACTATTTTAATTGATAATTAATTTAATTTATTTAAATTAATGTATTATTTATATATGTTTAGATTTATTTTTTTATAAAAAATTTTTTATTGTTATAAAAATAAATAATAAAAAATTATCAATATAAAATTATTTCTATTATGTTCTGTTACGGTCATATAATATTTTTGTCAATGTACACAATATTTTTGATTAGAATTTTAATAAATTCTAATTAAATCAATTAAAATTATAAATAATAGTTAAAGATACTAAACATTGTAAAATACATAGATTTATATTCTATTAAAGAGAAAAAATAATGAATTTTGTTAATTAATTAATATGATTTTTTATATGTAAAATATTTACTCTTATTTTTTAAAACTTATTATATTTTACACAGATATTTAATCATATCGATTTTAAATATTTTTCTTATAATTTAGATAATTAAAAAAAGAAGGGAATTGGTTTGGAAAACTAGGGAAATTTTAATCGATGTTATAAAATTCTATTAAATTACTATTTGTTGATTTCATTCTTCATAAATTCGCCATAAAATTAATTGCACTTAAATCCATAGTTGTCATGGTTGAATCTGTACTTAATATGCCTATACAATAATAAATTTTGTTTTGATAAAAAACAAGTTATAAATAGTAAGAATAAAAATTTGATGATACTTGACTTATATAAAACGATAGGAAGGGTGTATGCATAAACGAAGTAATGTTTTCCGATACACGTGCACACAAAGGCACACTGTATGCAATGTATAATATATTTATGTGGGCATTAAAATATGCAGCTAGTTTTATATCGTATGACAATATGTATATGTATATACAATATTTGACATGTCAAATAATTCACAAATAGTTTTGCTTTTTTTCTTTTACACATATATCTTTCTTGTCAACAAATAACAAAGGCGTGAAATATGAAAATTTTAATTTACATAAAACAAAATTCTCGAAATATACACGGTTGACTACTATTTTCTTTTTTTGAACAAGATCCTTGGTCAACCTATGTTAACATAGAATTGTACAAAACGATAGATATTTATCGGGATATAATTTTCATCGCGGTAGTAATCATGGTACTATCTAAACGCGTTCATTATTACATAAACGTGGATACTTGTGTGTGTGTGTATATATAACCAGTCTGTAACTACTGCTATCATTAAAAATCATATATATGCATGTATATATCCACACACATATTGCAACATGTATATATATATATATAT